GGGTTGGGCCTGTCAGACCTGGCGCAGCGACAGGCAGCTGATCCTGACGTGGGGCCGGTGCTCTTCTGGAGGGCAGCAGGAGTGCGGCCTACGCGAGAGGAGCTTGCCCTGCACTCAAAATCCGTCCAGGCCCTCTGCGATCCTGTGGGAGGCCTTGGAGGTAAAGGACGGGGTGCTGCGCCGGGGGTTGCGGATACTCTCCAGTGGCAAGGTACGGTGGCAGCTGATGGTGCCACAGTCGCTCCGCGGGGATGTACTCCGAGCGTTGCATGGCCATCCGGGTGTGGGGCACTTCGGCGGTAAAAAAACCCTGCAGCGTCTCTGAGGACATTTTTATTGGGGTCTTTGCCACCGGGACGTGGAGCGGTATTGCCGAACGTGTGTGGTGTGTGGCGTAGAAGAGCCCCCCAGAGCGCTCTCTTGCCCCCCTCCAACATCACCAGGTGGGGGCTCCCGTGCTGGTCTACCCCGACACGCGGTAACCATATGTCCTAGATACCAACGCGAGTAACTTGGAGGTGGGTGCGGTGTTGGCGCAGGAGGGCCCAGATAAGAAGCGCATAGTGGCCAACTATAGTCGGGCTTTGACTAGGGCTGAACGGAGCTACTGCGTGACCCGTCGCGAGCTGCTGGCGGTGATGGCGGTGGTCCACCACTTCAGGCCGTACCTGTTCAGGACCAGGTTTCGGTTGAGGACCGACCATGCGTCCTTTACTTTGCAGCTCCACTTTAAGGAGTCGGAGGGACAGATGGTGCAATGGATAGAGATCCTGCAGGAGTACGACTTCACTGTCATGCACTATGCGGGGTCTCGCCATCTCAATGCCGACGCTCTCTTGCGGCGCCCCTGTGAGGCCACGGACTGCCACCACTGCGCCCGGCGGAAGCAGAGTGAGGGGGCTGTCCGCACCGTGGCGGAGGTGAGCACCGCGGCCACGGCGCTGGAGGGGCCGGTGGGGGTGGGCCTGTCAGACCTGGTGCAGCGACAGGCAGCTGATCCTGACGTGGGGCAGCTGATCCTGGAGGGCAGGAGGAGCCCGGCCTATGCGAGAGGAGCTCGCCCCGCGCCCAAAATCCGTCAAGGCCCTCTGCGCCCTGTGGGAGGCCTTGGAGGTTAAGGACGGGGTGCTGCGCCGGGGGTGGCTGGTACCATCCAGTGGCAAGGTACGGTGGCAGCTGATGGTACCACAGCTGATTCCCGGTGCTGTGTTCCGAGCGGTGCACGACCAGCCGGGCGTAGGGCACTTCGGCGGTAAAAAAACCCTGCAGCGTCTCTGAGGCCATTTTTATTGTCGTCTTTGCCACCGGGACGTGGAGCAGTATTGCCAAACGTGTGCGGTGTGTGTGGTGTAGAAGGGCCCCCCCGAGCGCTTTCGGGCCCCCCTCCAATATCACCAGGTGGGGGCTCCTATGGAGCGGGTGGGGGTGGACGTTTTGGGCCCATTTCCGCGCACCGAGGCCGGGAACCGCTACGTCTTGGTGGCCATGGACTATTTTACGTCCTCCCGGACCAGAGTGCCCCCACGGTGGCCGATGCACATCTGGAGGGGATGTTTTCTAGGCTGGGGGTGCCGGAGGAATAACTTCAAGTCCCAGGTCTATGCCAGAGTGTGCCAGCACCTGGGGATCACTAAGACGCGGACCACCCCGCTGCATCCCCAGAGCGACGGGTTGGTGGAGCGGTTTAATCAGACGCTCACCACAGAGCTGGCCGGTTGCGAACACGGGGGAGAGTGGTGGTCCTGCACCGAGACCACCTGGACCCGTACCGAGCCCGGGAGGAGGAGCCGTGTGGGGAGGCTCTAGAGGAGCAGCTGGGGCTGGAGCCGGCCGATAGTAGGGCGTCCGTGGGTCGCCAGCCGTCACCGCAGCGCAGCAGCCGCTCACACAGGGTTCCACAGCTGTTAGCCGAGTACGAGTACAGCCTGAGGGGGGTGTTCAACGTCGGCAGGACGCCAGATGCTTCAGGTTGGGGCAGTGTAATGTCCTCGCCTGGTGGTGAGGAGGAAGCGCCCCTAGGCACTCATAGTACAGCTGGGCATGCTGGGAGTTGTAGCCGGGGAGAGTCTGAGGGTCAGCACGATGACCAGCAGCTGACCCTACCTGTGTAAATAATGTCATAGCAGTTCTAGTGTCCTGTGTAGTCTTATAAGTGTATAGCGTGTTGTTAAGTAATTACAACTCTAAAGATGTGTACGTGTTCCTCAGTCTCCTCATGTGAGTGTATATCCTGTGTTTGGTTTTGTGGTTGTTAATGAATAAAGCTATCGCTTGGTTTGTTAATCGCGTTTCCACTGGTCCTTTGTTCTTAGAAGAACCTGTAAATGCTACAATATTATAATATTGTTAATATAGCAAGTCTCCTTTTATTATTCCATGGCTTTTGTATTGACAATGACATTGTAATTAAATGTGTTATTGCTATATGTATTTTAATTTTGGCTTTAATTTTTCCTTTCTGTTAGATCACAACACAATTATTTACGAATCACTCGCATTCTGAAGAGCCTGGGTGAACTTGGATTTGAGAGCTTCAAACCTCCACTAGTCAAACTGCTTCTGGAAGAAGCACTGGTAGAGGAGACAATCCCAAATATGAAACATAGTGCCCTGGAGTATTTTGTGTACACCATCAGAGATAGAAAGGAGAGAAGGACCCTTCTGCGCTTTGCCCAGCTGTACTATCGCCCTGCTGATCAATTCATCTGGGGGCCTCCAATGAAGAGGAATCCTGGAGGCAGGGCTTGCTCAACACAAGACAAAAGTGCAGTTCAATCAAAACCAGTAAAAGGGGCTTCTGCTAGCAGCCCTTCTTCACAATCTAATAGTGACAAAGCAGAAGATAACAGGAGTGACAAGACAGAAGACAGAAACCAGAGAATTGCAGAAATCCAGGGGAGTACAGATGGACCCCTTTCTATAACAGAAGAGACGCCAGTTTCTGAGGAAGACAGGGATAGTCAGGAGGGCAAAGTAGCTGCTGAAAATAGAGCAAAACAGTCAAACAGCTGTAAGATAAAACCACAGTTTGAGGGAAAAGTAGAGAACAAAATTAGAAAGGACAGAAATGAGTACATAGACCCAATTTCTAAACATTATTAGGGACTTTGGAAGATTTCCTTTCTCTACAACAATGCGATGACTGTAGCAATATTTTGTGAAATGGCTTGTGAAAAGTATAAAAAAGGCAAATGAATACCATTGGAAACCATTGGATCTTTTGGGATTCTAAAATTCACCTTTATGTTTTTGTTACATATTGAAATGTTAGTTTTAACCTTTTGATGTAGTTCCTTATTGTTCAAGTCCCCAAATCTTCTTATCCCTCAAAAGGACCATAGCACATATATGATATTAAAAAGAAACCTGAATTAATAGAAGCTTCTGTACAAAAAGCATGTTTTATTATTGAGTCTTCCATTATAAAGACCTGTTTGCCATTGTTGAGAAATGTTCCTAGTTGATAATTCTTCAAGCTGCTATACAATGTGAAGATATAATCACTGTCTATAATATGTTTAAGATTTGTACTGTGGGTATAAATTGCATTACATATTTTAATTTATTATCAATGTTTAACAGGCTTAAATAATTATGGCAGTGCTCCTAGTACTGAAGCTGCTGCATTAATTTAACCATGTCATTGCATCTGTTCATTTGGGAGCCTATGTCTAAAAATATGAAGTGCCTCCTTTTTTATATACTTCTCATTTAGTGTAAAAAAGCTATAAAAATGGATCTTTAACTTCTTTTACAGGTTTAAATTCTTGATTGGACAAAGTGTAGCATTTTGTGACAAGAACCCTCCATACCTAATTCCTCCATTTAAAAAACACATCCGTACTCTTACTTTTAACTGATAAAAGAAAGTATAAAAATAAAGTGCAAATAAAATTTTTGCACTTAAGAAGAAGTGGCTTCTAATGAAATAAGAAAGGTATTACTGTATGTAGATTTGTGTTTATACTTTTTTCTGCTAAGATGAGAGTTTTTCAACCTGAATTAATCTTTCAAGCAGCCACTTTCTCATTATAATCCAAAAAATCTAAATACTATAGATATTGTTAAGGTGTAACAATCAGACAGGCCAAAAGATTGGTTGTTTGGTTGGTCAATTATAAACTGAAAAAAACTTGACATTGTTCTACACTTGGGTGAAATAGTTGCCTTTGTGTCCAGGGAGGTCTGGATAATCTAGATGAGGTCAGGATTTAGGAATGTGTACTACATAATGGTATTTGGAACAATAGGTTTATTCCATACCGAAAAGAAAGAAAACAACATTTCAGCTGTGGAGCCTTCTTCGGGTGTTCTTTCTTCTCTTTTCAGCATGGAATAAACCTATTACTTGTTCCTTTGCAGGCTACACATGCTGACACAGCTACCCACCTGAACTGAAATGGTATTTGTTGCATAGTTCAGAAGAATTGAAGCACAGGTTATGCAGTGCAATGATGTACTAAAATATAGACTGACTAATGCAAAAATGGTACACAGATACACAACTTTTTTGTAGAGTGCAGTGACCTAGATTTAATGTTTATTGCATCAGCGCTTGAGCCTTTGAAAGATTTTTTGTCCATGTGCCTAATCTGTATGTAGTTGTTTTATGAAAGAAATGTACAAAATGTTGTGCACTTTATGTTTTAGTATCTATACCATATATATGTGGTAGTAGTTGTAACCAGTTTCTGCATTTGTAAGGTGCAATAATTGTATTTTATGATTCTGTAATTGTATGGCATTGTAATGCCAGTATTGTCAATAATGGCAAAAATGATTTTTCTTGCTTACTGCCATATAAAAATATTTGAAATTTTAATGTTATTAGTTGTCTTTTCATTCAGTTTATTCTATTAATCAAAAACCTATTTACAATAAATATCCATACAGTGCAGTTTAAAATGGTTATGAAAAATAAAAATGGCCAGCTTTCAGAGATGATATCAAAACCAGGGTGTAGTCTTTAAGGAGTTATATCCTTTTTTCCAGAAATCTAAATGAGATTCTGACTAAAAGTGGTTGGGTAGATGGAAACATTTCATGTGAAAGAAACTAAATTCCTCTGTGCATTAAACAGGTTTCACGAGGAATGACAGCAGCCGAAAGCTTGGGAGAAATTAGAATCGTTTATTGAGATGTGGAGATTTGGCGTAACCCGCTTGGCTGAGGGCCAACCTCCCGGCCGTTGGACGGGGAGGATAGGACCCCCATGCGACCAATGGAGTAGCTGCAAAGGTGGAGAGGGGGTGGAGGAGGGATGCAGAAAACGAACGAGGAAGAGGAGAGGGTGACATTTGATATATATGGAGACCGGTTGCTTACATCAGGATTAGTGAGAATCGCAGCAGCTGTGTCGAATGAGCGCGGCTGCCTTCATTCCTCCCAAACTTTCATTAAAAACTCAATTTCACGAAGAACGACAGCAGCCAAAAGCTTGGGAGAAATTAGAATCGTTTATTGGGATGTGGAGATTTGGCGTAACCCGCTTGTCTGAGGGCCAACCTCCCGGCCGTTGGATGGGGAGGATAGGACCCCCAAAAGAACCAAGCGAGACCCCCAGTCACCAGTGCAGAAAAACAAAAACAAAAGATTATTGGACCAATTCAGCTGAGGAGAGAAAGTGCCTGCTTGAGGATACCAGGGTTAGTTTTAATGTATGCATGGTAAGCCTCGGAGGATCAACAGCCGCGTTGCTTGATGAGATACTCGGGTATGCCTTGGCGAGCGGCAGAGGACGCGGCTCCTGATCTGAAGGAGTGCCTGGAGATTTGTTCAGGAGGGTATCACGATACGGCCCTTCACGTTAACGAACAGAGGGACAGTAGGCAAAGCTCCGGCAGAGGTGCGAAGATATGCGTAATGGGATAGAGGCTCATAAGGACTTATGTAGGAACAGAGTTTGAAATAATAGATGAGAGTGCCGGACCTGAGTTGGTCGGTTTTGCTTTTCTTGAGATAGAAGGTCAGTGTCTCGGAAGATAAGATGGAGATGTCAGATAAGCAAGGTTGAGAAGAAGGATCGAAGGATGTGGAAGCAACGGTAATTTTGGAGCACCTTAGGGAGATGAAGAAGGCTAACAAGAATAAAGATTCAAGAGTGCGGTCGACCCGGGGTGAGTGGTAACCCGACCTGAGAATGTAGATGCAGGATTCAAGGATGTCTGAGGTAAGTGGTGCCCGTAGATTCGGAAGTGGTTTTTTCAAGCTGTTGAAAGCCTTTAAGAAGGAGAGTAATTTGAGGGTGGATAAGGGATGGACAGATCGTGCTGGAAAGGGATTTATGGAAGAAGTGGATGCCGCACAGGTATACTTTGGTGGTGGAGTGAGTTTCTACAATAGCAAATGAAGGATGATATGGTGAGAATGTCGAAAGAAGGGAATTTTATGTACGCGGAGAGGTGGAAGGATTGGAAGTCCTTCCAGGCAGTGCAGTAAGAATTGAGAGAGTTCGAGGGGCAATGCCTAAGAGGATAGTTTTCTGGACCAGCTGGAGATAGTGATGGAAAGGATGATTCAGAGGAATGTGAGTTCCGAATAGGGAGGTACTGTGCGTGGGTCCGGTCTTGCATCTGGTGCCAAGTTCCTGAATTTCTGACATTGAAAGCGAGAGAGAGAGTCAGCTATCTTGTTAACGTGGCCTGGAATGTGAGCAGCTACGAGGATGAATTGATGTGTGAGAGAAATCCATTTAAGGCGGCACAGGAATTTCATGATAGATTGGGATGAAGACCTTCCTTTGCTGATTAGATGAACTACTGCATAGATGGCCGAATGGATGAGGATGGATTTTTGTTTCCAATTGTGGCCCCAAAGAGAAGCAGCAACGACAATTGGAAATATTTCTAACAAAGCCGATGACTGGTTAGCGAGAGGGATTGGAGAGAATTCAGGAGGCCAAGGGGCCGCAAACCATTGGCCTTTTGTAATAACCGACTGAGGGGGCTGCGTCTGTGAAAAGCTGGATATCCGCGGGGTCAGAGAGGAGGTCATCGTAGAAGAGAGATATGCCATTCCAGTTGGCCAAGAGAAGCTGTCAAAGCCTGAGCTCAGATTTGCAGTCGGCTGAAAGGCTTACATGGAGGTAAAGAGAGGGCACAGAAGAGGCGAGGTAGAGAAGGTAGATCGTCCTTGAGGAATGATACGCATGGCGTAATTGAGGTGGCCGAGCGGAGAGAGAAGTTCCCCCTGTAGAGAAAACCGGTTCAGGGACGCCAAATATGTAATCATAGTGGCTCTCTGAAGGCACCAGTTCTGTAGGGTTTGG